TTTCAAACGCCATTTCGGCTCTGAATGGAAGTCGAGTGCGGGGCGCATGACAAAAACGACTTTAATCAAAGCGAAGAATCCATTCTCTACTTTTCACTTACCTACCAGAGCGAAGCGAGTGTTTACAGACCGATTGACCACTCCATTTCATTACGTGTATAGCCACCCCCTTTCTCTACCACGAGAGGGACCTACTCCCACCGAGTTTCACTGGTTTTCTTGAGTACCTCTGTATGTCTCCCCGTGCAGACGCCATAGTTATCAGTTAGTTACCAGTAGGTGACGTAGTTTAGGTGGGTGTGTACGCCGTGCCGTAAAGAGTTCTCTGTTCGCCCGTTTTGATACATTGTTTGGTGGTTGGGTTGTTGTGGTTTTGCATGTGCTAGTCGTCTCGTGTGTGGGGGATTCCGGTCGTTGAGTGATAGCTGTTGTCTAACGATTATCGGACCAAGTCACATGACATGTTTGGTTCAGCTGATCTTCGATACCTTCCCCACAATAAACGACCCTGATGTTTGGTCAATAACGACGGGAGGCCGGATCGTACCCTGGGCAGACCCCCTCCCGTGACTTGAGTGCAACCGTTTGTAGGCTGCGTACTTAATTCCCTTTTTTTTTGCTAATTTGGCTTTTTTCACAAAATTTCAATCAATTGTCGTCGTAAATAAATTGATTCCTTCGGTATTTTTTCTAAATACGATAACTTTTAATAGACTATTTCCATTCTCTTTCTTTTTTTACATTTCAATTTTTGACTATTTATTTAAAATTTGTTATTTGCAACTATTTATCTTCAATACCAGAGAAGATCGTACAGGTATTGTGAAAGGTACATAGATGAGGCTTTATTCGAGCGGTCATAATATCTCCATATTAGGAGAATTTATCGTAAGAATGGATAGTGAAGTGGCAAGAGGCTTCGTCGCCGCCTATCAGATCGTATATCGAATCCTACTCAGGAAAAACTTACGGTTTCACTCCACAACCAGTCATTTTCTGGTAGACTGTATGAGGAAATGAGGCATCTCCAGACACTCTCCTGGCTAATTTATGTAAACCATTGTGCAGATGTGACACGGACCCAAATGCATCTACAATTCTGCGTGACGAGCAAGTGCATGGCTTATTCGCATCGGATTTTTGAATAACAAGCAGTATAAGTTCTTTCACTGGATACATAAATCAATGATTACTTTCCAAAAAGTAGTTACTGATATTTTTGGGGCTGTTTCGGAGTTATAAAGGATATTTTGAAAAATCGAGCCCTAGTTTAAGGGGCTATTCTCAAGCACCGATCCATTCCTTTAAGCCGAACTCAAGCTAGCCCTCAGTCTTCATCGAGAAGATGCCAGTACACTCTTTACTGCATATTTACCATTTCTTTACTCCTCTAAACACAAGATCAAACCCGTTGACCTTTCAACAGAACTCAAGTATATGGCGCATACCGGGGATCATATAATAGCCGTCCACACACGACCCCGTTCCAAATGTGTAGAGGTGGCAAAGGTGTTGAAAGGAAGCAATTGACCCAGAACTAGTTGATTTTCTCGCTACATTTGTGACTTTAACATTACTACTGAGCCTTGATAGCACCGTAGTAGATGATGTCGGCACCCACACATAATGAACCTTCCCAATCCTGGATTCCGGTGCGAACAGGTGGTGGTAGGTTACCCTGGGGTTCTGGAGGAAATCATCTGTAGGCTTGGACTTCATAGGTGTTTTGGCAATTTTAAGAGGTGGTGACCAATCTATAGATAGGTTTTTCGCTTCATTACGGAGCCAAAATACTCATTCAAACACAACAGCTGCTCTCACTAGCAGCCGAATGCGTGGCGTATCCGGCGCGGGAATTGATTAACGCCAGGTGGTTTATTCCGTATCAAAACAGAACTACCAGTATACCAGTACTTTGAGACAATTAATCTTTAAAGACTCTCAAGTAGTGTTGACCGTGCTAGTTCTATTACACAGCAATGACTTATGAGTCAATGAACCACCATTAATGCCCCACCGTTCTTCATCAGTTTTTCAGCAGTAAACCTTTACTGGTATAGAAATGAACTGGTAAATTCTGAGCCAGGCCAATTACTTAGTTTTACGAACGAGGTGAACTGATTCTTCGAAACAGATTCCCATGAATGCCCTATAGGCCTTTAGCGCTGAATACATCAATTAACTAACAGCTATTACTATGGAAAGTACGAGTAATAGCTGATAAAGAAGCTTTATTGAATGCCGTCATTATGCACTTTTAGAAACAGACCGTAGCGTCTTACGCAAATGAGAACCCGATCCAAACGACTTGTCAAGGACGCGATGCGGTCGCGTCGCGGTCGCGCTCACCCTCATCAACTCAATGTTCGGCTAGAAAATCCGGTCGCTCTTCATTTATTTGCTATCTTGTGATTGTGTTTATGGAAATAACAAGTTGTTTGATCTCTTAATGGTTATTTCCTACCACCTAAACATTCACATATATCAGTTTTGGTAACATTTTATGGATTTATAACTTGCAAAATTTCATATTTTTAGTTTGTCAATTTTAGCTGTTTTTCCTCATTCGTTTTCGTTTTGTGTTTTCTCATAAGTACTTCAATGCAAAAGCTAGCTGAAAACTCGTGTTTTTCCGCAGCATTCTTTAGATTGGTACGATACTACTTTTTTAGTAGTGAGTGCTTTGTTGGGTACCCCAGAACCCCGTTTTTCTTTTGATTTATCGAATTTTCCGATTGGACTTGTTTTTTGTTTTGGTAGAATTGGATATTACTGCAGTAATTTTATCAATTCAAAGAGGGACCCTCAGAATGAATCCCTCATTTATTGATCCCTAGGCGCGTTTATGCCATCTATTTGCTTTGCTTAACATTTGTTTGCGTTTCAGTCGGTTTCTTTTTCACGTGAATTCGCGTTGGCAGACTGCCAGCAGCAGTCGTTTTATTGATCGATTCCATGCCGTTTGTTTCACTACGCGTATATTTCGCTAGAGCGAGGAGTTGTAACGGGGGTGTGTAGGTGATGAGAGTGTCCGACCCCGTGATGACCTCATTGGACGTACAGACGGACGGAGATGGGGCTGGTCTTAGGGGGTAGCGAAGGGTGGGACGGGGTTGGGTGCAACAACAACGTTTCCCTTTTGCAATACCATTCAGGCTTTTTGAAACGGACGGAGAATGGGCGTGGTTACATGTTTGCTGTGGAATTTTGTATTGTCAGTTGCTGTTTTCTTGAGTTGTTTGCCTAAAATCAAACACTCACGTTGGAACTGAATTTCTTTTCTAAACTTGTTATAACAAAGTTCCTAGTAAATAAAAATGATATCATGTTGTCACTTGGCTTTCTTTCCTTGCACGACCTTGATCTTGATCGCAATCTGTTGTCCTACCTTCATTTACACCATCTGAAATGACCAGGATATTTACTCGTATGCTGTTTTTTGATGTTAGGACGAAGTTTTTGAGAGTTTTCAAGAGAATCGCAACGTTACCCTCAACCAGTGAATCAAAATAGTTTTATGTAATTTTTGGATAGTATTCGGTACCAGGGCAACTAGTAAGTTCGACTGAATGAGCAGAGATCTAGACGCGTTCACGTACTCTAGCTGTTTTACTTTCAAATGGATATCAACATTTACATCATATTATCATTGATTACTACTTTTTTATATCGTTTGCTCGTTCTATTGGAACATGGAAAGCTTCGAAAAAGGTACTTCAAAAAGCCTTTTATGAGGATTTCTCGGATCTCCTACTGACAGTTATTATATTGTATCTAAGTCTTAATTTGTGCCGAGATTTTTCATTCTGTAGTTGATAGTAGAAGTTAATGCGGATCGATAACCACTGATAATTGATTTGGGAATCCTTTTCATATTACCAGGTTGCTTTAGAATGACCTCTCGATTCAACGAGGCTGAAGACTAGGCACAACTTGTGTCTTATTCCCTTGTTAGGGTATCGATTTTGATTTTGGCCTTTTGCCAAATGTTGCAGCCGATCAATCGCATTTGACTTTTTGATCTCTCTTTTGATCCTGTCTAGATCTCTGTGGATGTACGCGAAACTCGTCCCCATTGTTGTAAGAGTAGCTGCTAATGAATTTTTATATTCCTTTTCGGGGATGATCTGTAGAAAAGATAGGCAACTGTGGGAGTACTCTTGTCTGTCGCTTTCTTCTAAACTCTATTTTCCTGATTGTAAATATGGTTGTGTTGTCATTTAAACATTATATACTATTACAACTGAATGGATTTTACCTAGTATTTTACCTGCCTTTCTCTGAAAAAATCTGTAGTAGGTTTTCCATTTCTGATAGTGCCTTTTACCTGTCTAGGAGGTGGTCCGTTTTGATAGAAGACACTTCAAGATTAAAAACCTTTCGTGATTAACTTCCTGACCATACTCAGAAAGAGGTTGCCACATCTTAGACTGTATTCATCCTGCTTTCGCCGAAAGCTTGTCGTCTTACGTTTTTACTGGTTTTATTAGAGCTATTTTCTAGGCATCCATAGGTCAAACAGTTTGAGTCTGAGTTACTCGCTTACGGGATACAGGTTTGAGTTCAGTTCAAGTGACTGGTAAGTACAAACGTAGCGGTCATGCTTGTCACGTTCTCGGCTGTTTTAACGATTTTCAATTATTATTTATGATGTGATACTTTGATACTTGTCACTACCAAGAAAAGATATGATATGATACTTTGATACTTGGCACTACTTGGAAAAGTTGGGAGCCAAAATTTGAATTGGCTCAAAGATTTTTCATCCATACTTCAGGCTATAGTTGCCCCTGTGATAATTTATAGAAATTTTTTAGTATTTTTTAGCGGTTGTTTTTTTTTAATAGCAAATTCAAAAACATTTTCTCTTCTGATTCTCTATTGCTCGATGGTCCCTAGTGTTAAAGGTGACCCTTCGCTGACTTTTTCGATTGATTTATTTTATTATGTACATCTTATATTTTGAACATTTCCCGGGGTAATCTTATCCCCAGATCCTCATGTGTACTCATAGAAGCGTAAATTCAGTTTACGCCATAGTATGGCACTATGCTTTACGTGATATCGTGATGATTATAACGTGTAGAATTTCTTCTCGTCACAGTAACGTTCCAAAGTGTCTTATTCAGGCATTATTCATACGGTGCCTATTCATTCATTAGTATTTGTTTTTATTCTTTTTCAGTTAAGACGGATCTGTACGCTTTGCCACGCTTTGCTATTCATACGACGTCAGCTCATCGATTCTGTCTGAGCTGTGTAAATATTGCGAAGACGTCGTCAAAGCTGGACGAATCGGAGCGGATACCGACGCCCAACGAGAGCAGTTATACCGAAGAACTCACTTAGACGATGAGCTTCGGTCAGTTCATGACTTGGTCCTGCCTGGTTGATTTGGTTTTTTGAAGTTTTGTACATTGGAAGGTGGGCCATCCCTAAGTAGGTTATGCTATTGTAACCACGTAATGATTACTGTTGTCCTCAGTGGTGATGGGCACCCTGGAACCCTCGTTAGGATCTAATTTTGATATAAAAATTCGAAAGTAAAAGCCAAAATTGGCACTAAAAGCTCTTACCAATTCTGCGCTGCAACTGCACTGCAAAGCTGCGCCGCTGCTCCTTTTGAAACGAGAGTTCCACCCCCTCCCTTTTCCAAGATTTTTGAGATTTCTGCACTGTGATTTCTATCCTTCCTGATTGTGGTTTATAGTCGGCTTAGTCGGCGCCGTACCGTAATTTTTCTCCTGTCTGATTTTAATTTTTTAGCATGCCTCATTATCAGGCTTTCGCAACACATCTAGGATTTTCAAAGACGTAGTCGCACTAGTTTGCTCTTCATCATCTGAACATTCCATTGTTCTTATACTTGTATAAGAACTGGGCAACTCGTCCTGTAGTCATAATAATGTTCTTTCTTAATCAATCAAGGTAAGGCAAGGCACGGGTTTTTTTGCAACTAATACAGCAGTCTGATGGATTCTCAATGCCCTATCGATGCGATTTTGATCGATTCTTCTATCAGAACTGTATTCATCAAGTTGTGTGGTTCTAATGTTTACATTAATAATTATTTTGTTACAGGAATCTCGGAGGGGATAAGATATCTGAACGGAAGCGACTCGAATCCTCATTCGCCGCCCGTGGGTCTTGGTATTTCTCCTCCCGGTCGATCTACATCTCCCGGTTAGGCATTTTATTGTATTTTCTTGCGGTCACATCATTTGTTACTTCTACAATATTTTGTTTTTATTGTTTTTATCATTTTTGCAGTCGAAAAGCGTGTTCTTTAGGTCACCCAAAAACGCCATCACTAGCCGTCTTACTGTCACATTTCTTTTATTTCGAATGGTGGGGTGACTTATTGTCAGCTTTCGCCTATGTGCTCCTTTTGTAGTTGAAATAGAAAGATTTTCAAAAGTTTTCTGCACGGACGCTCGGGGTTTCGATGCCAGCAAGCGTCTCAAGTTTTTTTCACACGCTGTTGGTCTTGAGAACAGCGCTCGATCACACGATACGCTTTCGGTCGTCCCGTGTCGTATCGTATCTCTCCCAATGAAGAAGGAAATCTATTTTCGGCAACAGTTATTTTTGCTCGCCAAGTGTTAGCGCTACTGGTTACTGTACGTATCCCGTGCAAAAGGTTTTGCTGAAATGTGAGATGTTCTGGCGGTGTACCCTGCTCATTCATGAGGATTTGATTTTCTGGTCGTACGGGGCAGTCCTCACCAAATCATGAGCACGACCAAGTGGTAGCCGTGGGACCACTTCGGGGATTCTCGATTCGCATATGAGGAAGACGGAGAGAGCTCTTCTGGCCCTTTCAGTTTGACCGAATACCGAACAGGTTCCGGAGTCATATGGGACTTACTATTCCACTCGGTCTCTTTCGAGTAGCAGTTTTCTATTTTGCCTGAAAACCCGATTATAGCTTTACCTCTGATAGGGTAACAGTTAGAGTTCACTTTTTTAGTCTGTGCAGTACCACTGACGTCATATCGGCCTGTAAAAACAGGTTTTTTTTTATGCCTGAGACACGGCACAACATTTGCAACCCAGCTATTGAGTGATGTAGGTAGATGGAACTTGTTTTGGGCACAGGTACTCTGGGTATGTATGAAGTACTGCGGGTGTCAGGGTAATTTTTGTAATCACTTAATGTTACTGTTGTTTTTGTTTACAAGCTTCAACTGAGCTTGGTTGTATTGGCAAGTTTTCGATAGCCTTTCTGAGCTCTCTTCGCTGGCTATGTTGCTCATACTTCAGCGCTAAACGCACGTACATTTTTGCAAAAGTCTTGAGATGTCACCAAAGACATTAACTAAAGGAACAGCTGCATTACAGGATCCAATCTCTATTTGAGGACTTTGGAAGTTAGAGATCGTGGGAATTCATGGGCCTGCCTGTAAATCGCGCTGCTACGGAATCGACCAAAGGAACCGATCCGTTATCGGTGGATGGTGACCGTCGTCGCGTTGTTGGGTCGATTGGCGCGGCCGTAGAGGTGTGATGAACCGGTCCGCGGAGCGATCATCGCCTCTTTAAAGATTACCTGGTTTCCTATCTCTTCATCAGTCGTGTTGTCCATTATCATGAATTGATAGCACGTAGAGGTTATCAATGCGCTGGGTGTTTGTGTGTCTCAGTGAAGTTTTCTCTCTATCTCTCATAGGCACAGGGACTTTTCACCGAGACGCAATTTATGACGGCGTCTGGCCAGTAACGTACTTTGCACGCTTTTTTTGGCAGTTAGATGGGAAAGACTGGCGTTGTACAGGAGTGTTGCTCTTCAGGCGATTGTTGATGACTGGTAAATGAGCATGCACTATGAATGAATATTTTTTCTGAATGGTTTGGAAAATATTGATTCAGGTTTCGACTCAAGTGCCGAGAAGCCGGTGAATCGAAAACGAACAAACACGGCTTCTAGTGGTGGTGGCGAGAAAAGGACGGCAAACAAGGTTTGCATGATTTCATTGCTCTGTTGTTCTCTATCAGGTGCTTGGCAAAGATCAGAGATCAGATTTATTGATTGAATAGATCGATTAGTTCTTTTTGATTTTTAGATCTGCCGAGTTTGTGGGGACAAGGCGTTCAGCTACAATTTTAACGTGATCACATGTGAATCATGTAAAGCGTTTTTTCGCCGAAATGCCAATAAGGTAATTGGTTTGAACTCGGTTATTTTGGGATATCATTGTATATCACTATTACTACAAATATTGTCCTTGCAAAATGTCGGCTATTTAGGAAAGAGAGATTCGATGTCCGTTCAATGAGCAGTGCGAAATAAACGTTGTTTCGCGACGATTCTGCCAACGATGTCGCCTGGCCAAGTGTTTTGACGTAAGCTGTTTTTAGCGTACTTTCATCTACTGGGTTCTTCACGTATGTTCATAAGTTGGTACTTATTTTTAAGCACCTTTCTCAAAGAAAAAGTATTAAGATTTAGTGTTCCGAAACATGATTGAGCGTGAAGAGTGAAGCCTCTATAGAATTTATTCTGTACTTTTAAACTCAAAGCTTTCGCGGCTCCAACATTTTGTTATTTTTATTGAGGACTTTCAAATTTGGTCAGGGTTTTTGCGGACTAAGTTTCGTTATCATCGGTTACCTTTTTGAATTAAGAAACATGTATCCAGTGAGATCTCGTATCAATCCGTCACCCTTGTTCGGCTTTCGAACTCGTTGATCTTCTAGTTATCCTAAATTTCATAGATGAGAGCGGTTTATTTTTTCCATTTTCAACAACGACCCTGGTCCCGTCCCTTCACCCGCCCCCTCTTCTACCCCTTTAGTTCTTATGACTTGGTCTCCGGTTGAAGAACGGTTTTTCTTGATGGATCTGCATGGTATTGAGGATGTAGAATTGTAAAATCAGACCGCTATTATTCTTAGAGTTTTAGGGTATACCATGTTTGATCCCTTTGTCATTTACCGTCTAAAGCACCGCTGCTACTAGTAATTATCGTTTTCAATCTTCGTCTTCGATAAATAATTATCTTCCCAACTACCTTCAAAATGAGGCTATTGAATTCACAATACGGAATAATTCAGGTTGGCATGAAGAAGGAATGGATAATGTCTGACGAGGCTCGATTAGAGAAGAAGCAACGTGTAGAAGAGAATCGCGAACGTCGAATGGCAGATGCGATGGCACGAGCTGAAAATGTCGACGACGATGACACGCAAAACGATTCAGATGTAATGGAGCGAATGCGTCAACGTTCAGCACAGACACAAGAACTAAACCCGCAATACGATCCCAGTAAAAACGAGACCAGACTTGAAGAAGTGCAACCTGTTATGAGGTCTACTGAAGAGCTATACACTCTCAATCCGTAAGTTCTAGACATCATTCTTTATTTCTAGCTCCATTGCGATGACAGGGTTTCCTGAGAACATCCTTATGTTCCGGGCTTTTTTCAGACCTCCAGAACATACAACTGTTCCTATTGTTGTGCCTCCATTATTAGAAGCTGGTTCAACTGCAGGTATGTCTGTTACTATCATGTCATATGTTATTTTACCGACTGTTCCAATAAATATACAGCTCTCGTGATCTTCCAATGTGTTCATACATAATAGCGCTTCCCTAGTGAACTCCCGAATAAAAAACACCCTGTTTGTTATGAATTTTGAGCTGGGGGCGTGTGTTGGGGCCGTTCTATTGGTTGCTGTTGTCAAATAACCAATCGTAATCGACTAATGCTGACAAGCTTGAGTAGGCTCGTAGGGGTAGTATTCTGAAGGCTCTTATGATATATGTGATGTCTGGCCGCTATCAGTTGCAGGGTTTTTTTTTGCTGAGACGTCTTTGGTGTCTAATATTAGCCTATATGTCACCAGATTACAGCAGTGTACTTATTTAGTGGCCCAGTCTTTGGCTGACGTTAGCTCTACAACAACGGCTGCTCCAACTATGGATGTTGATCCGGCTACTACGATGAGCAGCAGTGGCTTCATACCACCGGCTGTAGAATCAGGTACATATTTCGGATTGTTCGCTACTTTTTTCGTGTACCATTTCCTATAATGCTTTAACAATACTGCTTAGGTCTACTGGTAATGCCTGCGAGCAATCCCGTCGACCCGTCGTTTATGGCGCAAGCTCAATTAGCGGCTGCAGCTGCAGCACAAGTACAAGTTCAGGCAGCGATCAATCAGCATCAGGTGCTTCGATGATTAATTATCGGTTTCTCGGTTTCATTGCTCTGCTGTAACATAGTACCGTGTTAGTCGCCTTTTCCTCAAGCAACATGTTCAATCATAACTGCCTCTTTGAATTGGTGCATAGAGCTGACGTGCATTTTGAAATTTTTTTTCAAATTTTTGTACGTATTTGGTTACTGGTTTTGATATCTTCTGACTATCAGATCGCTGCTGCTGTCGCTCAACAAGTCGCCGCTCATATAGTTAATGCTGCGCCTGTAGCTGCACCCGTCCCAGCACCAATTGCTCCTGCCTTAAATCAGGTAATGATTGCTGGAAATCTTTTGTTATCCGATTTTGTCGATTTTTAAAGTGTTTATTCTAAAGCTGACGTGTGGCGACCAATGGTAGAAGCATATGTACTAGTATTACGGTGCGATTGATAAATTTTGGTGATGTAAAGATGTGCTATCTCCAAAGGATCGCTCGGGTGGTGGAAGGGGGAGGGTTAGGGTAGTGTTTGGAAGTAATATCGAGTGTAAATGAAGCAGATAGTTCTTGATTTGTACAGCTATGGTAGCGTTGAGGGGCGTACCAGGGGAATTTATTTGGTGGGAACATGCCTTTTCACTAGAATTGCTTCAAATGGCTTCAAGTATTCTAATCGATTAAAATGTCGCTTCCTTCTTTTTATAGTAGGGGTACTAAGGCCGCCCTCTTGAGTTGTACGAACTTCAAAAAGCTCTGGTTAAGTGTCATTTTGGGAAGTGCGTGCTCGTTATCGTATTCAGAATTTTATGGTCTACGGGGCATATCGGACGATGAAATGTTAGCATTTAAGGACAAAGTGATCTTATGGCGAAACATCGGAGGAGTCCATTTTTGCACTGTTTGTCATGCGCAGTATATTGAAAGCGTGATTTTGGGGTTGAATATGAAGAAGCATGAGATAAGCTCTGGGTTTGAGAGGCCGGTTCGTGTAAGGTAAGGTGGTTTTATGTGGGATAGTCGTTTAGCTTCATTGCCATCTTGCAGGTAAGCACGGATTGTGTGACGATACTCTATACTGGTTTTTCTATCATAACGTTAATCTTTTGAGCTCTGATTTTCTCAGGGCCACGGAATAGGTTTTCATGGAGGAGAGTTTCAGCCACCGATATTGGCACCAGCACCAGCAACTTCGCTTTTATTAACGCCATCTCTGAATCCTATTACACCTATGACGGATATGGTAACAATACCAAGAGAGGTAATGCCCATTTTAAGTGGTTCAATCTTGTTCAGGCTTATTTTATTTCTTAGCCTAACCTTTCACAAAATGCTGAGCGAAAGGTGTAAGCTTTTTTTCAGGTACTAGTAAAGCTCATAGAAAACAATCCTCCTCGTGTTAATTGTACATGTCAGTGTACTTGTGGGCGGTATCCGCCTGGATGTGCGATCGTGGATGAGGTGGGTGATGCAAGGTTCACCTATCAATTGATGTGCCAGTATACTAATTTAGTTATTGAGCTTGAAAAAAGTGATTTCTGTTCGTACTCTTTTGTTCAGAAGCTGTTTATCACTTTACCTTTTATTACAGTCTTATTTATTCTGATCCCATGCACAGCAATTTGTTACAGAGTATTCAGTAGAATGAAAAGTCAGCTTTATGTTAGATTGCCATTGATAACCTAGATTTCAAGATGAGAAGTACTCCTCCCCTTGGAACACAGTGCAACGTTTCCCTCTCATTCACAGTAGTGCTATTTTTCGAAGGAGGGGAGTTTTGGACTATGTTGCTTTCTTTCCCGAACTACTATTATCCCTAACCTAAACAATATGATGCAGTAAGGGTAGGGGCAGAAGGAGGGGAGTTAAAGAACCAAGGCCATATACAAGTTATTGCCATCAGCTTAGCCTTGGTTTTGTTAAATGCATGGCGCATTTCCTTTCCTTCCTTCCAGGAGCTTATCTCTGTGTGGAGCCGAAAAGCACTGTAGACATCGCGATGTTTTGCCCCTTTGATAGTTTGGTCTCTTGAGGACTTGTGTCCTTGATTTTCGGAGAAACTACAGGGTGTTCTAACGCGCAGGATTTTTCCAGGTAACAAAGGATCTCTTAGCTGCAGGAAATAACACTACCAATACAGAGACGTCTAGAGAGGAAGCGAAATTGGAGAGTACTGAAGATTTTCACGTAAGTTTTCTGAAATAATGGCTTTGTATCGGTTTTTTTCACGGTGAGTTTTTTCCTATTTCAAAAGAAAGACTCAAATGTCCGGCTGCGGCTCCAGTGACGTCTAAAAACCACTTGCCCTTTTTGCGTTTTAATGCTTGCTGTGTGAGATGTTGACGCTGAAAGGGGCCTTGAAACACGTTGGAAGCCCGCTAGGGATCTCACCATGGAAAAAGGCTTTCCTCCTATATGATGCATGTATGCTCACTATCTGACGTCAGACTCCTGAGGGCACTTATATTGAGTGTGCATCCACTTAATTTGAGCTTATTTTTAACTAGTTAATGCACGACGAGTTGACGGTAGCTCCTGATAATCACGACTGATCTTTTTCGCTTGCTAGCTACCCTCCTGTTCATCAGCTCCTTTCTTTGCTGATATTTCCATAGTTATGCTGGTTTTTTTTTTTGAAGTTTAGCAATTCTCAGTAAATGAGAATGTTGGTTTTTCAGATGAATGGATTACTGCCATCAGAGGAGTCAAGCGTTCAATGGCTAAACGCGTGTGCTCCTACCGTTGATCCTAGTGCAGTAGTGGTTAGTTTTAAAGTCCACACTTGATACATCCGTAAGTCACTAGTTGTTTTAAGGATGAGAGGCCTAGTGGTCGACGAGACTCGTTTTACATGAACTCAGGTATGGTGGACACCAGAATCAATTCAGTCCCTGGTATGTGTCCAACTTTAATTTTCGATTTATTGCCCCCTTTTGTTTTTCAATACTCCATTTTTGAATGAGCAGGTGCACCTTGATTTTACGTAAATGTTTTCTGGGTACCACATTGTTGCCCGTTTTCGGTCTACCATTTGTAGCTCGACTTGGGCAGCTTTTTAAATGTAGCTTGTAGCTGCTATATGCTCTTACGTGAATGTTTATTATTACTTTTACATTTGTTTTCGTCAACTTTGCTCCGTTACTTATACATTTGCTTTATTTTTTGCTCATTCTGAAGGTGTGAGGGTGATGTGGCAATGTTTCTGCTTACGGCTACGTCGG